GAAACATTTTACAAGAAGTGAAGTTGAATGTTTTGGGATCAATATTCTACTTATTAAAATATCCTTTTATTAATGTTAGAAATGAAAATTTGTATATTGAATAATTCCTTGATGTTATTATGAAGTATTTTCCTCCATACTTTGTAAATTATTTTTTTCATATTTTATACATTAAATACATTTTCTTTTATACATTTCTTTTTCATAGCAAAAGAAATACCAATAGGGTGACATAATACATGTTTAGAGTTTCTTTGTGTACTTGATATTTCTAACAATAATGTGCTGAAAGAATAATTGACATATTATTGTTATGGTTTTAGAGTTTGTGATTTGGGGGTGAAGTGCTTAATCTGGTGTTTAATATATAGAAACTTCAATAACTAAACAAAAATTATTTCTCATAGAAAATCTTATATTTTTAAAAAGTCATTTTAGCTAATCACATATAAAGTAACTGTCAAATCCTTTTGGAACAAATGGTATGTATAATATGAAAAATTAGGGTGCATCTGTATTGCTGTGAAATTTTTTCTGTCCTAGGATTTAGGGTATGTTTTCTTATTTTGCATATTACTTTCAACTTCCAAATAAGTCCTTAATTAAAAAGGCCTTAATTCCCCATTGTGTCCTGCAATGGGGAGTGACATTTTCTGAAGTTACCTCATGATAGTAATTATCTGTGTAGGTTTTTATCTTAGAGACTGTGAATTGATAATGTATAATTATTTTTATGCTATATGTTTCATGCAATGTAAAGAATTTTCACTGCAAATTGCATATATAGTAATTTGAAATGTGGTAATATATTTATTTTAAAATATATTTTGTATTTTCTGGATAAATGAATTACTTAATTCCATTGTCTCTTTTTATAAGGTATTTGTCTTAAATAACTGGAGAGAAGCCATCTAAAGTTTAGCATTCAGAGTTGTATAGTTCACCAAATTTATCACTAATAGAATAAATAAATAGGTAGATGGATTTGGATCAGGCACTTGTTTTATGTTTCCTTTTCCTACTAAAACTCAAGAAACTGATGATGAGGAAAATAGCCTTTTGATTCCCCAAGTTTTTAAAGGTTTAGGAGCCTCCCAAAGGACAACACTGTGACCTTTGTAGGTATAATTCCAAATGTGTTAATCTCTGACATTGCTTTTTCTGAGAACTGCTGTAATAGATAAGAAACTCACTTGATTAAAGTAGGCAAATTAACCTGATTTCATTAGGGTTTATGAATGGTCAGTAATAGTAACAAGAGTACTGTTTTCATGACAACAATATTGTCCATACTCTTAGAAGATGACACCACTTATAGTAATTGCTATTTGTGTATGCATTATAGTTGAAAAGACCTGTGTAATGATCAATTCTTCCTAGTGTCTGTAGGAAGGTACCTTACAGCTTAGAATTAGGAAGCTTTCCTCAAATTATAGGTAAATATGTATTTACATTAAATAGTGACAGATAATTCTCAGAGAAAGTCTCCCTAAATTATAAATTGTATCTCCACTGCAAACTTAAAATGTTTCTTTTAGACTATTGCTTATCTGGTTTTGATACTAACATTTCATATTGAAGTAGGAAGATGTGATTATTATGCTGACCCAAAGTTCTTTTTTTGGTTCTTCGTGTAATGTCTTAGGATAACACAAGCACAATCACACTGATAAGTGTCTCCATCTTAATGATTTTCAAATTAGGAAATAGCTTCAAATTAGGAAAGCTTTTTGTTCACCTAGCTTTAAAGTAGCATGATGTATGCTAATTGGTTACTTTGTCTGCATTATTTTTGAAGATCAAATGGGCACAGTGGTAATTTTCATTAATCTCATACAGAGCAGCTAATTAAATTTTCCATTATTATCCATCCATTATCTAGTTGTTTCCTTTGTTCAGTATCAGAACAGGGTGTTAATAATAAGCCATTCTTGTATTACAGCCCTATTAAAGATAGTGAGAATTAATCTATTGCACTATTTTGTTTTTAGGTGATTTCTTTAATATTATGGTGTACCATATTGATTATGCTGAAGATTCTTTGACATTTTGTAATAGAGGTTTCAGAATTAAATACTTGTTGCTTTAATGTTTTATTCAATATTGGGAAAAAGTGGCATACAGTATAAAAAGAAGTAACCCGGGGACCAGAACATTAGTGTTTTAGTCCTGCTGTCTTACTAATTATGTGAAGTTTGGTAATCACTGCTATTTTCTATTTCTGTAATTAGGGTATAAGAAGAACTGACGTTTAAGGGCCAGTCCAGCCATTATATGTTATTACATTTTCATAATTATCAAATGTGAACTTATGATAAAACCCCTAAGTCCTTCTAAGCTTGATAAAAGTCATTTATTTATTCTATGAGGCTCTGTATTTTTGGTCTTGCTCCATTAGGTCATTTGCTTCCACTCCTTATAACCAGAGATTATCTTAAATTATATAATTTAAACTTGTTTCTAGGATTTAGAGGAGTGGCGACTCTCAATGTGATTGGCTGGCCCAATTTTTCCATAAATAGTATCTTAGCCATGACCATATGGAAGCAGGGAAGTAACATTGTCCGGTCAGCTTACTGTGTCTGTGAGGCAACACATACAAAATGCCTGTTTTAGGCATTTCATATGCATTGTCTTACTTAATATTCATAACAAACATGAAGGGACTAGGTGTTTATTACCCCTATATCATGGATGAGCCAACAGGTTTATAGAGATTAGTTCGATAGCCTGCTGAGGGATTAGCTGGAACATAAGTGAGGGGGCCATGATTCAAACCCAGTGGCAGTTTAAGTGGTCCCCAGCATGCTGTCATACACTGTCTCAATTTATCTGTTCAGTGCTCACATCTTTGAATGTATTGTAATGGGACATCTCAGAACTCTAATACTCTGATGGAAAACTAAACTGAATTTTGAACCTTCTGCATGTTGAAACTCAATAGTTGTTCATTCATTTGTTTATTCTCCATCCATTCATCCATTCATTTGAGAAATATGTGCTGAGAACTTACTGTATGCCAAGCACAGTGTTAAAATCTGGAGATACAGTGGTGAAAAAGGTAGGCAAGATTCCTACCTCATAGAGTTTCTCTTTCAATGAGGAAGACACAGTAAACAATGAAAGTGCTGTAGAAGATAAACATATAAAGCTAATGCTATAAATGAGGTTTACAGTGGGATAGAACTGAAATGATGAGATCGAGCAGTGGGGAGGTCAGGGGTCAGAGTCTTTCCGACAGAGAAAACAGAAAATACAAAACTTATTCTACAGGAATAAGGTTTATTATATACAAGCCTCCAGGGGATCAGTAGAGCCTTGTTATCTATTAATTAAGGAAAAAGTTTGAATTTCATATGAAAGTGGTATGTGGTTATAACTTGTAGTTTTATGCTATTGATATTTACTTGTGGATCTGTATGTAGCCTTAAGAGGTAGATAAATAAGTTATAGAAACTTGGAAATGATTTCATGGTGATGGTTTTACTTACTGTACCATGTATGTGGTAATTTATACAGTAGACTTCTTGAACATCTGTGTATCTTAACAAAGCAAGAAAAAATCAGGTCAGTGGCCAATACACAAAATATGGGCACTAAAAGTATGAAATTATATTCTTTGTTCTGTTATTGTTATGGAAAGATTCAATAACAGCACACTTTTGTTAACGCTCACTAAATTCATTCACTATGTTAGGTACTTGGCTTACATTGACTTCCCAGTCCAGAAGAGAGACAGACACAAATAATGACCTCTGCCCCAATGTCTTATGTGTGATAGGAGTGATAGGGCCACAGTGCTATAAGGGAATAGTTTCCATATATAAGACGTTAGACTTTAAATGTTTACTATTTAGTGGAATTTTTTAAAAAATCAGACATTAGAAATGATGGATAATTTCTATATTGAGAAGATCTCAATAAAAAGACAATAGTATAATATCCTAAGTAATCCATTTTTCATTATTAACACATTGTATTTTTTTTAATTCTATATATTCTAATGCTATGACTTCTACCAAATGAAAAAAAAATTACTTTTCTTATTGCAGCTTAGATACTTAGCAGAAACTGAGTATAATTTGTAAGAACTTAGAAAATGGGAATCAAGCAAGGGTTTTTATTCAAAGGGATATGTTTGTAATGTATTAAATGGTAGTTGTGATTATGTGTGTCTGAAAGGTAAAACTATGCATTATTGGTACAGTGAATGTGTTGCTGATGTTTTCCTCCCAGCCATTCCTCCAAACTACTTAGATAGATATGGTTTGGTGATAAAGCTAAAGAGCTGTGATGTTATAATGAGTTCTAGAAATAACCCCTCCTATATTGGAAATTAAGCTCAAAACTAGTCACTATCAGATAAATGCATTAATGACTTTTTAAAAGATTTATCTATAAAATGAGACTAACAAAGTTAGAAAGAAATTGGAATTGATGAATGTTTTAGATGAATTTGATTAACATGCTAATAGGAGACTATATTGTTTTACACTTTAACAACTGTTTTCACTTGTTTATTCAGATAGGCTGATACTCCATTTCAATAAATGCGGGTTATGTATCATGTTTTATATTAAAGTTCATTCACTCTGTTTTGTGGGAAAGAATACAAATATCTTAGCTAGAAAAATTAATAAGATGATTGCTAAATGTTCATCCTGTGGGTTGAGGAGCAGCTAATGTTAATCCTAATACATGAATTGTAAATTTAAGTGTTCCTGTCAGTGATACTTTATCTAACTCAAGTCCATATTCTATTCAGGTCATGAGCATCAGCAGTGTAATTTTCTTTTAAATGAGGCTGAGGAGAGTGTTGAGATACACCCAACGTGATTTTACCACATCAGTTTTGTGACCGTGAATTTTTAAGTGCCTAGCACTCTGCACACATTTTTATATAGTAAAATCTTAATATATTTTATGCATTATTTTATTTTAAAAGTTTTATAAAAACAAACGGTTATCTGTCTTAACTGCTATCCTTTTCTTCTATTTAGGGAGGACTGAAAAACAGCAAACATGAATGCACCCTGTCTTCACAAGAATATGTTCATGAATTAAGATCTGGTATTTCAGATGAGAAACTTCTTAATTGCCTGGAATCTCTGAGGGTTTCTTTAACCAGCAATCCTGTCAGGTAGGTGGTTCTTATTTGTTTTGATATGATTCATACAATTTGTACTGTGTATAATTGTTGGGAATATAATCAGTTAAATCATGTGAACCTCAAGATTTTCTGATCAGATGTCTAATGTTAGCTAATGTAATAAAACATTAATGTCTAATTATGAGGTTGTAAGCATTTAAGAAAGTGTAGTTAATCTGATCTTTAATAATGTTCAATTTTAAGAAAACAAATATTGCTTAGATGTGTAGTTCCTCTTTGGTTATATAAACATATATCCAGAAGTTAAATATGCATATTTACATGGAAATCTTTGTACCCAGGTAATGATTATTATATATTTTTTTATAAAACAAATTCAGTATACAAGTGTAAAAGGAGGGACCCAAAAAACCTGGAATTATCTTCTAAAGGGCCGGCCCCTTATAGTACAGGCTTCCCCCATTAGGTGAGATGGGTTTTAGGAACCCATCTGTGTCTCTGTGTCAGTGTACCAACTGGTGTTGTTGTGAGAGTCTGTGTTCAGCTTCAGTGAATATTTTTTGTTTGCTCACTTCATGATGGGTGATTTATGAGTGCACCTGCCCACACCATGGTGAGTGTTCAGCAGTTTTTGACTGCTGAACAGCATATGACCCTCATGCCTGAGCTCACCCTATTCACCTGATCTCACCCTAAGCAACACTTTTTGTTTCCCTGGATGAAGAAAGTGTTCGAAGGGAAATGTTATTCTGATGAGGAAAAGCTGAAAAAATGGTAGAAGCACTAAAAGGCATCAAAATCGATGATTTCAGAAACTGTTTAAAAATCATTGGAGCAGTGGAAAAAAACATCTCAATATGTGTGTTTCATCAGATGTAGAGTACTTGAAAGGTGACTGAAGTTTAAACCTATAAGAATAAATGCATACTTTTTTATAAATACATTCCTGGGTTTTTTGGTTCCCCCTCATATTGGCTCTATGGTTTCATTCCTTTTTTCTTAACTTGAGAAGTAAATATAAATGTAGAAGTTACCTTCTATACATTTTAGATATACCACTTATATATTTCCATAATTTGGAATAGCAAAATTTTAGTTATTTACCCAATAAAAGAAATGAAAGTACTAATAAACTCTTCAAAATTGTTGAAAAAGACTTTAGTTGAAGTTTCTTGCCAATGATGTATTACAGTAACTGATGTTCCCATATTAACCATAAAAAGTCTTTAAATTACACCAAAAAATAAAATGTTTTTATAAGAAAAATAGACTTTCAGTGTAATATAAAAATATTGTGTGATCTAATCACACAATTGCTATCTGCTTCAGTGCAGAAATAAATGCATAAAATATATAAAAATCGACTTTTTATTTTATTCATGTTCTTAACATATAATGGGGTCACATCTTGAACTTCTGTGACCTAGCTATAGAGCCTTGAAAATAATGTAGAGCTCAGTAGTTCCCTTGGGATTTATGTATAAATTCAATTCAAATTCATCATAGAAGAGTTGACCCTTGAACAACATGGTGGGGGTAGGGGTGCCCACTGCCTGCAGACTGGAAAATTGGCTTATAACTTAAGTTAAGCATCTGCATAACCTAGATTCCCAGCACCAGTTTACCCTTGAACAGTACAGGTTTGAACTGCACAGAGCGTGTTGTTCAGGGGACAACATTTTTTAAAATCCTCAACCAAAGATATGCTTTTAGAGAGACAGAATGAGAGGGGGAGAGAGAGAGAAAGAAACATCTATGGGTTGCCTCCAGTAGGCGCCCGATAGAGGGGGGGCAGGGTAGGGAGCAAACCTCAATTCTTTTGGTGTTGGGGATCACACTCCAACCAACTGAGCCACCTGGCCAGGACAACTATATTCATTTTAATCTCTAGTGCATTTGGCAGAAAAACTGAAAAATTATAATTCTTCAATAAAAACTTTTAAAAGAAAGTGGTAAGATGAACTTACATTTCAATATAATCATTCAAAGGTGGCTATCTTTCTATTTCTTCCAGAGGCCTCTGGTTTTAATGATTTGAACAGCATGTGAATTCTTTGAGAACAGTAACCAAAGTGGTGATCCCCCACATACCATGTCCCCCAATCCTTTCCTTCTAGTTGCCCTTCACCCTCTACCCCTCTCTCATGCCCCTGCCTCCTTCATGCCCATGTAACCTGCAGCACTCTGCCATAGCACATTTATGTATTCCAAAAATTTCATTGAATGGTTAACTGATTGAATGAGTGAATGAATGGTTCTTGAAGAAGTGATAAAAGAAGGTGAAGGGATTAGTAGCTCAAGAACATGTATGTATGTTCTCATGGACACAGATGATAGTGTGGTGAAGGCCAGGGGAAGAGGGGGTGCGGGCTGGTTAGAGGAAGGCAAAGGGAGGGGAATGGGGACACCTGTAATAGGATTGACAATACAAATTTTTAAAAAAGAAGTGACTATAGAAGTAGCTTCCTTCTGGTTTTAATGATTTGAACAAGGAATGAGTTCTTTAAGAGTAACCATGGTTATCCTCTCCCGCCAGTTTCTGTCTCTTGTTCTGTATCCCCCCTTTACTGTCTATGCCTCCACCTGAACTTCTTGTCATCCCTCCATCATGTAACCTACAGCATTCTACCATAGTGAACGTGTGTGTTCTGAAATTTGTGTGTAATGGTTAACTGATTCAGTGAGTGAATAAATTAATCTTTAAGAAGCAACTGCGGAAATTCTGATTGGTGTGACCCAATCAGTGGCTTGGGCCTCGTCCAGCAAACCCAAGCAAGTTCCATTGGGGTCAGGGCACATTCCTCCCTTGGTTGTGGTCCTGGTTCCCTGGGGGTGTGTGAGAGGCAACTGATGGACGTTTCACTTTCTCTGTCACATTGATGTTTGTTTTCCCTTCCTTCTCACTCCCTTCCTCACTCTCTAAAAATAAATAAATAAATAAATAAATAAAATCTTTTAAAAAAGTGACTGTGGAAGAACTTGTGAAATTTTGGAAAGAAGGAGTCCAGGGAAGATAGCAAAAATGCCTTTTTATTGGATGGCAGGAGAGACCTGAAATTATACACTGGGCTTTTAAAATGTAGCATCGACAAGTACTAGACAACTCCAAAGAACTATGGGATGAGGAGAAAAGCTGGCAGGTCCTGACTGGCTGGAGGCAGTTGCATTCTGGTAGCTGATTGGATCCATGGTGACACAGAGCTGCGTGTATCCTCACAAACCATGAATTCAATGTAACCCTTGGTAGAAGTGGAAGCTTGCTTGAGGAACTTGCTGAGTAGAGCCAAGTCATGCCAACTCATCTGCTTGTGCTTTGGTTAAGATGAATGGGGATGGGTTTGGGGGCCATGGTGGCCTCTCTGCCATGAGTGGAGTCAGTGGCAACACTGACATACTGTTTCAGGTTGGCACAGCTCCTGTTCTGAGAGCTCGAAGATCCAGGGCTCGAGTTGAGAACATTATACCTTGTTGTGTGAATTAGCTGCTCACAACCACTCTGGTCAAGAGTGTTTTCAAGGTTAGGGGAATAGTAGTTTTCCAGGTCTCAATCACAGAGATCATCAGAAAGGCAGAGAAAGTGTCAAATTACATTCTTTACAAGATTGATGATAGACCACCAAGCTTATTGATGCCCACCACTGGCTAGGCAGAGGTAAAGCAAAATAGGAGCTGACTCCGTATCAGGTGGAAGTTTATGCTACAGTGTTTGGTATCCTCAGTGGTTCTGCAGAGGTGAAGATCCTTGAGGTATTGCAGATCTGCATCCTGGAAGACATGAACAAGTTCACCTAACATATTCTGGAAATGGTCAGTGTGAACTTTGGGCAGAGTGCACTTGTTGCTCCATACAAAGTGGATCAGCCTCCAGAGCATAGTGAGGCCAGCCCTGAGTTCATCCAAAAGGATGTGCTGCATTTAATTCCTGAGTGTCCTCAACAGGAAGGTAAGAACATTCAGGAGCTCAAGACCCAGACCGAGCTTTGCAGCCTGAGTATCAATGCCATCAAGGAAGCCCTTGAATATCTGATGGTCCAGGGCCATATGTACCCCAATGTGGATGGAGAACATTTTAAATCTGCTGAGTGAATCAGCAAGAAGTTTTTACATTTCCTGAAGATACCTGCCTCCAACTGTGACGAAGTTTGACCTGTTGACTTTTAGGAAGTAGGTGTTTTTAACAAAAGATCTCAACTGGCATTCCTTTGGAACATCTCAGCTTTTCCAACTGCTTTGAACTTTTCTGTTTTTCTAACGATATTTGAAGCTCAAAGGGAGATCGAGGTGGATAATTGATTGGACTTTTACAGTTTTTACCAGCAAGGAAATGAAAATATTTTCAATCAGTTGAATTTTGGGGAGAAAAGATACAGAACAAGTTGAAAATTATTATTTAGTTGCATGGGAGCTTCTTGTTTCTGAAATATCTATATATTAGGCAAAAATAGATGCAGTCATGGAGCCAGCTAAGAGACAAAAACAATTCTGTTGTTTTTACATTAGACTTATTTTCTGTTTTGATTTGGCTTATTGTAGTCATTGCTACCTCTTGCTAAATCTAGCAATTAATTTAAATGTGCTAAAGATAGCAACTTGTGAATTCAAATGCTTAGTTCCAGTGTTTATTGAATGATTTATTTTTCTTACTATAGGTTTATTTTTTTAAAAAATGAAATTATACTGTGTTAGAATAATTGTCAGTTTTGAATGCTTTTCAAAAATGTGATTGTTTAATGGATATTTCTTCAAATAAGATGTGATATTTGGATTAAATTACAATCTGTTGTAGTTATGTGGTACATTGATGCTTGATTTCTGTAAGTTTGATGTCCCAGAGAATTATTAATAGTCCTGAATGCTCTATTTTATATATAATAAGCTTTCTTTCTTATAGGTTATACAAACAAAATATAATTATAGGAATATTAAGCTTAGTAAGTTTAACTGAAATTTATTTGAACATTTTATTAAAATACTTTTGTAAACTCTTTGTTGTGATTTTTTTCTAAGTATACTTGATAAAACCTTTTGTT